TGCTTGGAGGGAAAGCGGGGCCGATCCTGCGCGGAGGAGCGGGGTTTGTTGTTTTTTTTTTTTTAACAAGTTGCTTATTTAAAAAAGAAAAACGATAAAAAAAAAATGAATCTTGGGGAAAACACAAGGGTCTTGCGGACAAAGCGAGCTTGGGAGCCTGGTGCATTTTAGGTACTGATCGTGCGAAGCGTTTTTAACGACCTGTTGTTTCGATTTGTGACGGTTTTAACGATGTTGCATCAAGATAAAAACTTATATTCAACTAGAGCCTGGGTCGGGTTTTCTCTCAAGCGGGGGGTCCCGCAGCATCGCCTTTTCGTTTGGGGTTTGCTGCTGCTTCCCTTGGAATCCTGGTACCGGTGCCAAACCCTCCCCGAGCGAGGGGTCGCGGCGTGGGGGGCTCGCAGGGAGAAAGCCAACGTTGGCCATCGCTTGCGAGCCAGGGGCCACCGTCAGCTCAGCCCCACCGACCTCCGCCTTTTCACTTTTCCTGCCTTTATTTTATTTTTTTCCAGCCTGGGTACTGTGGGTTTGTTTTTTTTTTTTTTCCCCCCCAATGCGCCCTGGAGACCTTCGTAGGGGGGGAACCAAACCAACCAAACACACACCTTCCCTAAAGGAAACATTTAGGGTTGGTATTTTTACAAATGTTTTGGGGTTTTTCGGGACTGCTTGCAGGGACGTACGTCCCCCGCAGCTCTGCTCCGCGCCGCTGGGAAGCCCGAGCAAAGCTGCCCCGTTCACAGTTTTCCCCAGCCGTGCCGCGCTCAGCGGAGCCACTTAAACACAGTCCCTGGTCCAACATGTTTCTGAGTATTTTATATATATTTTTTGTGTATATATATTTTTTTCTCCTGTATTTTTGCACAGGCTCAGCCGCAGCCGGGAGCTGCCCCAGTGCGCTGAGCTGCTGCGTTATTTCCTCCTGCCGCGCTCCATAAATCACCGCCGCGCTGATGCAAACCCCCCGGGACTGACCGTCCCCGGGCTTCGCGGGGTGCGTGTGGCCCCAGGACCCTCTGGTTCTGCCTCCCCTGCACCCCCACACCTCATCCCCCTCTTTTCTTCAGCTGTTTCAGCCTTGTTAGAGTCTTATTTTGTGTCCAGAGGGTTTTTAAGCAGCCCGAGCTCGGCTCGATATCCAGCTCAGTTTTTGGGATGGGAGCTGGGATGCATGGCGGGACCCTTGCCCCATGCCTGATGCACCAGGGCTGGGCAGAAAGGGGGGTTTAGGGGGGTTCACCCCCCATTCTTATTTTTATTTAAAGCTGGGAAAGCTTTGTAAACCCTGCTTTAAATAAAAATAACCCATCCCGTTGCCTGCGCGGCCTCTCGCAGGCTATCGCCACCTCTCCCTGTATTTTTTGGGGGGTGAGTCGCAGCTCCCTGGTGAGTTCCTCCCCAACTTTTCCTCCCAACATCCCCCTCCTTGGCACGTTTTTTTGGGAGAGCACTCCCAGCCGCCCGTTCCGTGACTAAATAAGGAGACTTGGAGGAGGAGAAGAAGGGGTTTGGGGCCAGCGCCTTCCCCAAACCATGCTGGGGACCTCGGTCCCCCCATATATTTCCTCGCCCCCGGATCTTGCCGTGGTCCATGCTCCCTGTGGGCACATCCCGTGTGTCCCCCAGGGGCTGGTGCCCCTTTTCCCCGGCACGGTGGGGTCGGCTGGAGGCACAGAGCCGGCTTTGGGGCTGCGGGGGGGTTTGGGGGAGCTCTGCCCTGTGGGGTCTCACCCCAGCGTGATGCTCTGCGATGCCCGTGAGGCGGCGGCGATCGCCTCCTGCCCCGTGACGCCTTTCCCCTCCGCCTCGGCAGAGCGAAGGCAGCGGTTTGGGGCTGAGGACGCCTGATTTTCCCCCTTGCCTCGGTGCCCAGCGCTGCTTTGCCCCTCTGTCTCCCTCCTTTTTGATTTATATTTCTTTTTTTTTTTTCGTGGTGCAGCAAGCTGGGGAAGATGCAACCTGGATCTCGCCATGTTGCTGCCCCGGGAGCAGATTATTTTGGTGATTGTGGTGTTACCCCTTCCCCTTCATCCCCGATCCTCCAAGGGCAGCTTTGGGCAGGGGAGCAGGGATGTGACCCCCAACTCCTTGCACTGCTGTGATTTTTTTTAAATCTTATTTTATTTTGCTGTTCCCTACTGATTTATTTTTTTTCCCAGCACCTCCTGGAAATCTCCCAAGCAGGGGAATAGCTGGAGCAGGGCACGGGGTGTGACTGCCACCCGGTAACGGTGGTCCTCCGTGGGGGACCCCATCCCACGGCAGCTCCTGGGGAGATTTGGGGGGCAGAATCTCACCCTTCTGCCCCTTCGCAGTGTTGGGGTGCAGTCGGGGATCCCCCAGTGATCCCCATCACCCTGACTTGCTCCGGGCTGCTCAGGCTCCCGGCGCTGCCTGGGGGTGGCTGTCCTGGATCTGGCCGTGCTCCCGTTTGGTAAATAAATAATAAAAACTAAAGCAATTTATGCCCCAATGGGGCCGGTTTATGAGTTGTTTCCTTGCTGGGGCTGGATGGTTTCTGGGGGGTCCCTGCTTGGTTTTGCAGCGTCTTTTGGGGTGGCCGTAATGTGCTGCCCTTTGCTGCAGGACCCGGGGTTTGTGCAGCGTCACGGGGCTGTGTGTGCGTGGTCGGAGCGTGTTGGCACATGTTTTGGGGGGGTGTTGTGGGATGGGGTGGCATGTCAGCCTGTGTCACCCATCCAACACGCCGCAGGGCTGCGGATGTTTGCGGGGTGCCACGTATGTGTGTTGCAGGAGGGTGTGTGGATTTTTGGGTGGCTCTGACCTCTTTTGAAAGCTTTTTTTCCTTGTTTCTCCCGATCTCTGCCTGGGGCTGGAGCCCCCTTCCTCAAGCGGTTGCTGCTCTTTGGGGGTTACAGGACCTCGGGCCACCGCACACACCATCTTGTGATGCTCTGCAGCCCCTGCGCTCATCCTGGGCATCTCCTGCACCCCAGCCTGGCCTTGGGGTGGGGGGGTGAAAGCAGCAGCCCCATGGTCTCACCCCAGCCCTGGAGGGTGCACCGAGGGGTGGCTGGCTCTTGGGACTGGGTTATGGGGATAAGCCCCGGGGGTTCGTGCACGGTCCCCTCTGTACCCCGCTCCCGCAGAGCTTTTTAAACCCATTTTCAAGCTTTACTCGCACCTTGGCACGCACTTGAAGGCACCACGGGCATCGCTGAAACAGCCGGAACTCCTCCAGCCGTCCCCACTGATGGGTTTTACACCCCTCTCCCACCAAGCAGAAGGGTGATTTTGAGGGATGCTCGGTCCCAAACCCCTCAGCACCCTGAGGAACCTCACCCAAGCACACATGGGTGCCCGGCACCAGTTACAAACCCCGGCAAAGCCACCCACCGACCGGTGCCGTGCGCTCCGTGTCGTCCCCGAGTAGCGATTAGCCGGATCGTTGCAGATAACCGGGTTTCTGCCAACAGGCAGAAAAACCACAACAGGCCAATCAATGCGGCATCGCCAAAGTACCCCTCGCTCCTTCCTCCTCAATTATTGATGTTAATACCCAGCAGGTTTGCCACTGCGCCGCTGCGGCATGCTCCGCACAACGTCCCGACATCTTGGTAACATGATAAGTCCAGCCCTGGGATATTAAATCATGGTTAGGAAGCGGGGTGGGCCGCTGGGCGCGCATGAATTTGGGGGCTGCGTGCACCGGAAAAGCGCAAATTAATTAAATTCCCAGCAAAATAATTTCCCCAACAAAACGAAAGCCCCGGCGGTTTGCAGCGCAGGCTCTGAGAGGCCACGCTCGGGGCTGACCCGCTGCGAGCCGTGCCCGGGCGCGGTTTGGAGCTGATATTTTTTTGGCTCCGGCTGGTCTTTATTTTTCGGGCCGGCCCGAGG